AGAGAGAGAGAGAGAGAGAGAGAGAGAGAGAGAGAGAGAGAGAGAGAAACACTCTAGAACATAGATGGATCATTAAAGTCTCCCATTACCACAAGATCAATTCTCTGCCAGGCTTGTGGTGTTTCCCCAAGCTCCTCATCTATTTCATTCTGTCCAGGAAGTATACACTAGTGACAAGATCACTGCTATTTGTGCCTTCTTTGGTCTTCACCCAAGTAGTCTTCATCATTCTTCTTCCTTCTGCTTCCTAGATTTCTTGCCATGAGTATAGTTTCTTTATATATCATGCCACCACGTCCCTTCTCCCTTTACTCATTTCTTTGGAATAGGGTAAAGCCTTTCAGAGATCTACTCCAGTCCTGGATCTCCTCCCACAAACTGCTCCTCAGTGATGTCTATGGAAGTCCATTTTACTCTCATATTTGAGGACCTTTAATTTTAGCTTATGACCTATACTTTGTACATTGGTGTATAGACTCCTGAGGCCGTAGGTTTTATTACCATCTCCTTCCTTGGACTTTGTGTTCTGTGAACTTTTGGGTATGACAATTACTATGCTTTGAAAACTCTGAGATTCTAAGAGATATATCATTTGGGGAAGGGGAAATAAGGGTAAGGGGCTTGGTTCTTTCAGAATCAGGGACATCATGAAGTTTATCCAGAATATTCATTTAGGGTCTGGTGGAGTGGATACTATCAAAGCTGAAAGTCTTGATTGAGTTGTTCCTTAATCCCTCAGGAGGCCTCAACTGTTAAGAACAGGAAGGATGTGTTTTTTTGTTTTTACTTCTTTTTTGTGGGGGAGGGGTACTGGTATTTGGTAATTGGTTGGGGATTTGGGGAAATCTTGAGGCTATATAAGGTTTGATGGGTGGATTGGGGGGTGGGGTGTGTGGGGTGTGTGGTGGGTGTGTATAGGATCTAGAACTGGTTTCCCTTTTCAAGGTATCATTTCTGGGAAGTCCTTTATGCAATTGATATTAGCCAAGGGGACTTCTGCAAAGAGCTTAAAAAAAAAAACCAACAACAACAAAAGCTAATTTCTGTTTGTGTTGCATCACCTTTAACTGCTTCATTACTGGAATGCTGATAATTAGAAGCAGCAGAGTACAATGGAAAGAGCACAGGAATCTGGATATGAAGACCTGGGTCTTAGCTCTGATATTTGCTAGGTGTAGCTGTGGAATCTAAAGACCTTACAATCTTAAGACCTGGGTTCAAATCTGGCCTCAGATATTTACTAGCAGTATGACCCTGGGACAGTCATTTACCTTTGTTTGCCTCAGTTTCCTCATCTGTAAAATGAGCTGGAGAAGGAAATGGAAAATCACTCTAGTATCTTTGCCAAGAAAACCTGAAATGGGGTCAGGAAGAGTCAGACATGACTGAAACAACTGAACAGTAACACATGCCAGGGACTGTGCTAAGCACTTTATAGTCATTACCTCACAACAACTCTGGGAGGTAGATGCTATTATGATCCTCATTTAAATAAAAATGATTATTTAATAAAAACATTAATTAATAACAATAACAACTAGCACCTACGATTGGGTCAGGTACTGTGCTAAGTACTTGACCCATATTATCTCCATTGATCCTCACAATGACCCTGGGAAGTAGGGACTATTATTATTTCCATTTTACAGATGAGGAAACTGAGGCAAACAGAAGTCAAACTACTTGCCCAAGGTCACACAGCTAGTAAATATCTAAGGCTGAATTTGAGTTAAGATATTCTTGAGTCTAGGCCTACTGTTCTATCTACTGTACCTCCTAGCTACCAAAATGAAACAATAAATGTAAAGTGCTATGTAAATATAAAACATTAACATGGAATTAAAAAGAAAATGCTTTAAAAACTGTTAAGGGCTATGTAAATATGAGCTATTATTATCATGACGC